CAGTGAAGAGCAAGCCCCACCTGCTGGTCTGTGCGGAGTGAGAAATGCTGCAGGGATCAGGTGAGGCAGGAACGGCACCTCCACAGCTTCAGGATATGGACGTAGCAGCTACAGCTTCCAGAGGCTGCACCTGAATCGGAGACAGCCTTTAGGGAGCGTTGTGTTGGACCAGCAGCTGCCTGCAGGAGTTCTCTCCCGTGCTCATTGCAATGCTGCTCCAAATTCCTTCTGAATTGTAATCTTGGCCCCTTCAGTCATCAGGTCCTCAGTTTTGTTTCTTTTCTGTGTGTGCTGTACAGTTAGAAAGAGCATTAGTAAGGATGTGTGTGTCCTCTGGGTCCAGTTCTACATTATTCCTACCAGCATGAGTAATGAAAAGAGGAGGGGGGGGTGGGGCTGGAGCAGCACTTCTGGTACTGCCTAAAGCAATCCCTGCCTGTCGCTGGAAAGAGGAAGACTTAAAAAAAAGCAAAGAAGGGCTTGTTATTTCATGTACCAAGTCTTTTGGCTACCTGAGGAGACAAAATCTTGTAAAGATGCACTGTGAGATATATATATATACACACACACATCTATACAAGACTGTACAAAGAACAATGTGCCAACTGGTGGGTGCAGATAGCTCCAGGACTGCAGTGACCCACTGTAAACTGAAGAGCTGTAGTCGTTTCCAAAGAGGAGTCTGCTTTAGAAAACAGCAGGTTGCAGATCTGAAATAACATCAAGCCCCTGAGGTGGAAGGCACAGAGCAAGTAAAGGAAGGGAGCACACGTGAAGGACAGGGAATAGCTGGCAGTTAGTTGTGTAAGCACACACAGTTCAGGCTTTCAGTTCATCATACAGCTGTGAAATAACCTGGGCTGGAAGGGGCTGCTCAGGCCAGTAGGTCCATCATCTTGCTTAAAATAAAGCCACTATTGAACTCTGATCAGGTTGATCTGAGTTCAGGGTCTTAAAATGCAAGTTTCCCAGTTTTGTTGGTTGGTGGTGGTGGCTGCAGTTGTTGGGCTGTTGTGTCAAGTTAGGGGATCCCCTATTTTAGTGTGTTCTCTTTCTTCTGTTCTTCCTCGTGTGAGCCTCTGTCTGCCCTGTCGGGAGAGTTTCTCCTGCAGGGGCCTTCATATCACCACAGGCTGCAGTGCTGGGAAGCCTGTGTGGCACAGCAGCTTTGTTCCTCCTGTGGGGTTAGAACGACAGGGCAAGGCTGCGTTTTTGCTTATTTTGACTCAGTTCTGTTTCCTATCTCACAAAAGCCCCAGTACCCCTTCATACAGCTCGCCAGTAATTCCTGGTAAGACCTGATACTGTTCAGCACCTTAAGATCACCCCAGAATTCCCAAGGTGCTGCCCTGGGGTGCCCCTGGATTCACCCGGGCAGCTCCCCCTGCACCAGGCCTGGTCACTCGCCCCGTTCCGGCCTTGCCAGGCCCGGCTGCTCCTTCCTGCGAGGAAGGGGATCCCCACGGGCTTCCCGAGGGAGGAGCTGCAGGCCCGTGCCCCTCAGGAGCCCCGGGACCGGGGTCTTCTCCCTCAGGAGTCACATCCGGCGGGAGCAGCGCTGGGCAGGGCCGCTCGGCGCTCCGCACCCCGCGGGTGGATGGCTCGGCGCTCGGCGGCGCAGCCTGGCGGCGGCGGAAGCGGCAACC